TATATATATATATATATATATATATATATATATATATATATATATATGTATGACCATATACAGTCCACATAATATCAAGTTTAACGTGCACTTTGCTCGCATTTAGATAGTCAGTTAATTTGGCAGCATGACGTTTGCTCACATCCATCGCAATAATCTTCGGAGAGTGACTGCTCGCATTGTGCCTCATTTAAATGAGCCATTGTGCAGAGGCGAGCTATGGTAATATCTTCATGATCAAGGTATTTTTCCAAGGGCGACTTGTTAATGTTTTGAAGACTTATATCCCCGTTTGAATAAGGGCTCTTTTCATGGAGCCATAGCGTTGTGCCACTGCAGAGAGACTCAGCGTTTCAGGGCTCAGAACAATTCCTGATCTGTTGTGAGAGAGTTGAATATTGCGGAATGTTTGAGGAGCAAATATGCTTTTAAATGAGTCGTTCTACTCCCTAATAAAAGACAGGAGGCCAATGAGGAACAAACAGAGGTAGTGGGACTTGAACAAGGAAGGAGTTAACTTTCAATTTCACAGGGCTTGCATATAGCTTCTTTGATTTGCTGTGGAAATGCAGCCTGGATTATTTCTGTTTGTTCTGATTCCAATAATGTTATTTTTTTTTATTATTATTCTGCCCGGACTCAGGGGTAGCGTGCATTTTTTTTTGCGTGCAAGTGTGTGCACTCCCTGGCTCAGCCACATTCAGAGAGATATTGGTCAGTATGTGGCACGCCTCAATACAAAACTTAAAGAAATATTCCTCATTCAAGCGAATCCACGGCCCAACATTTGGTTTTGTTTGGTTAAGGCCAGGCGAGACTGGAACTCTCCAATAAAAATAAATCTCAAATTAATTATGGCCTAGAGCGAGGGGCCAGACAGTTCGTGCTTATATGTGCTGCAGACTCCACTTTTTTGCCCTCAGTATTTTGACTCAGGCTGTCTTTTAGCCCGAGAGAAGGAATGATCTGAATACAAATATGCTGTCTGAAAAACAGACTGGGACTATTTTTTCTTCTTCTTCTGGTTAATAACAGTCCTCCGAAATGTTACTGGATACGTAAATTGCGACACATTCTCACTCCCAACTCAGGACTTATCCAGTGAGGTGCTACCTTTAATTTTTTGACCACACTATAAAAAAAATATATATTTGTATAAAAACCACAAGAAAAGAAAAAAACATTGTTGGGGCCAATTTCCCATGTTGATTTGTTTGAGAAAGTGTTAGTACCTTGGCATGCAGCTGAATCAAGTCTGTGCCTGATTAAAGATTAAAGTGTGTATGTGTTTCCATTTTGACAGGCTGCTTTCACTTGCAAGGCCTTTGCGACGAATAAAACTCCTGATACTCACTATCTCTGAGACTGTGACCAAATTCTCCACACACTAAATCTTAGCAGATCTTATGAGCTAAGAAAAAGAAAAATTGGGCCTAACAATTGAAAGGCTGCTGAACATAAGCTCTGCATAGTGTCCGCCCACCTCTGGCTGGTTGCCCCAGCGGAGAGACAGAGGAGCTACTGGCTCGTGGTGTAAGGAAGAAATGTCTGGCTGTCTAGTTCCAGCGTCAAGCCAGATGCTCTGTGGTTCACTGTGTAAACCAACTTGCATCTGTTTATTGGCCTTCCAAAATGTTTGTTACCGCTGTATTCATTATGGTCTTGGTAGGTCCTGGACCCCCTGTCTTCTTAATAAGCTCTATGACTAGGATGGCAGGTATTTTGATACAGAGAGGGAGCGATCTCTCATGAGGCCAACTGTTGGCGAGATGTTGACTGATTAGAATATCAGACCTCCGGGAAAACGTGAAGGCTTTGTGTCATTTGAAAAGCATCCTGGAAACTATTTCTTAGCACTGCATTTAAATTATTTACACAACCCACACTCATTAGGTTGCGATGGAGGGTATAAGCTCACATTTATATTAAAGGAACCTGATGACGTGAATCCAAAGACGCACATCAGTAAAACAAACTAAACGAATCTGGTGTTTTAAGAGATGTGGTATTGGTCATAAAGCCCTGTATGGTGAATCACTGGAGGTCAAATCTTAAGCACCTCTTTAATTTGCCACTTTATCACTGATCTATTTTCAACAAAACACCTATATGCAGGAATGTATAGAAAAACAACAAAAAAAAGAAACCAAACCAGTCACTGAAGAGTTAAACAAGGTGTCTCCCTTAATTACACGAGTCTGAACTGGCCTCAGGCAGGAGAAGCCTTGACCCTTAGCAGGATCCAGATGTGGTGGTCCCAAGGGTGGGGGCCCTCGGCCCCACCAGACCCCCAACGAGAGAGCAGACTAGCCGGCCCTGCTGTCAGTCGTTGCGGTGGCGCAGTCTCTGTTTAGCCACTCTCAAGGCAGAACTTCAACACTGCAAAAAATATCCATCATCACAATTTCAACTAAATCGTATTATATTGTTAAACTTTGTTTTAAAATGTTAGTGTAATGAGAAACATTTAATTTGGTTCAATTTAAAGTTTTTCTTTTTTATCAAATGTGATTTTCTGGAATGGTCGATTATTAGAAAGTCACTGAAATAGTACAATCTGGAGTGGTTTTTCATTTAAATCTCTAAATCTATATTATCTACTTGTTCGATATGCGTTTCATTTGTCACTGAAATGCTGAATGTGCTGTGAAAAAAAGGACGTTTCTTGCAGTGTTATTGGTCTGGTCACGTTCAGAGCTGGCTCCATGTCTAGCATCTGCACTAAAATTATGCTTGAATTGATGAGGGCAATTTCATAGGGCAGACGAAAAGGGGGGGGGGGGGGGGGGGGGGAAAAGACCTATGTGGGGGTGGGGATTAAGGGATTTTTCTTTTTAGGCCCAAGTATAAGGAAAAACCATTGAATAACAACAGCAAACCCATTACTATAATACTAATGCATTGAATGCAGTCGTGTCCCATTTTCAACTGCGCCTTTGTTTGCATTGTATCCATTCATTCCTGCGCTGAACAGCAGACGCACACGTGTAGAGCAGACCCTCAGACTGTAGTGCGGTTAGGAGCTGAATGCTTGGGTTTTATTAATGGTGTTTCAGGGAAACTTCACAGAGAGCTGTAACAAAAAAAAAGACAAGGTGTCTTGCCATAGGTGTTCGTGGTTTCAATCCGGTTTTGATTTAGAGCTCGCTCAGCAGTAAGAGAGAAGCATCTGTCCACATTAAAAGATAAACTTTATTTCATGTATCACTTTCGCTATGAAATATAGGACAAAACAGAGAACCGGCTGATTTACAGAAGGATGGATGGAGGCATGGCCAGATGGAAGTTTGAAGTGTAGGCGTGAACCTAAAGCGCTCCAGAACACGGGATCACATAATTTAAGAGTGCCCTGCGACAGTAAGCCTCATTCCCAAAAAAACCTCAGTTAAATGTGTGGAGAAATAACTCATAATTTGGACAAATAGAAAACACTTCCACACCATCTGTGACACTACTGGGAAAGCAAAACACACAAGCCTATTCTACAGCGGGCAACACGCAATGGCTGTACACGACGCAGGCAGTCATCCTGTAAATATTTCCGAGCAGAAAAACATAACAGCGGAGCGAACACTCAATTGTTTTCCCTGCTTATCTCTCTGGGACAGTATCCTGCTTTTTTGAAGGCAGGGCTTTCGGTGACACACAGCTTCCTCTTCAACCTTCTCAACAGTGGTGACTTCACTTCCCAAATTTAGAAGGAGAGAAAAAACTCAATCCGGTAAAAAGTGTCTCTTTCTCCCCGCCACATACCGGGGGGCTGGAATTAATTCAGGAGCGTGTCATGTTTGGGATATTGTCGGGGTCCGCTGAAAATTGCGCAAAATGGACGGAACTATTAAGGTAAGGGTGGAGAACGGGGTGTATGAGTTTGTGGGAGAATGCTTTTTCGGAGTTGCGCCTCCTTTTTTTTAAGCAATGGGTTGAAATGCCCCTCTGTGTCGGTCTGTGAGCTGGGACCTCCAATCTGACGACGATGAGCGGCTTTCTTCTCTCTGTCTGAAAGCGGTAACCAGATTTCCTTATTTTCCTCTTTATTTGAAAGGACTCCTCTTTTTTTTAATAAGCTGCCCTGTTGTGAGGATACGTTAAATTGTGGATTCAGGGCTAAATCGGAATCACGCTTTGGATTTTGGGGGACCAAGCGCAAAATTACGCACGTCTGGAATAGGCAATAAGGAGTGGCTATTTCTTTTAGACACGCAGAATGTACTTTCATATAAGTACAAGTAATCCACGAGGTCGACGATTTGGTTTAGTCTGGACAGCGAACGGGGATTGAGCAATATCCATGACTGGATGTAACGCTGGATACGATGTGTCGAGCTGCGCAACAGCGGTGTGGCACATCGCCCGGCTAGGTCCGAAGATCCTGTCGTGGGTCAAACAAAAAGTGTGATGGTTTTGTATTCACAAAAGAAATACCCTTTCTCCCTGTGTTGCTGTTGATAATTGTAACTTATCTCCCTCCGTTTCACTGAGAGTTTTGTGAAAGTGTAAGGAAAGCTGTCATTTGGTAACTTCATGCGGTAACTGCTCAGTTTGCAACACTTAAAACCCACACGCTTCACAATGATACCTTGGCTTGCTCCTTATATAGTTACACAACTATTTTGAAACGGTATGTTGGTAGCAAGAGCGCCGGTCTACATTAACTTTGGCTACTGGCCCCCGACAGTCAAATTCCAGATGCAGTATGGCTGCAGCCACCAGATGTTGAATGGCAAGTCCCTATTAGTTCACCCTGCGATGCGTTTGGTCTATGTCCTCCGGTTAACAAGTGTATGAGCTCAGAAGAATGCAGCGTCTGCAAAAGTAATGCGACGTGTTTTCTTTTGGAAATTTAAAGTAGCGGGTTTGTGGCGGCTGGGTGTGGTGTGAGTTTTGGAAGAGTGTAAACGTTGGCCAGACAAAAATGTCAGGCTGCATATATAGTCACTTCAGTCCCGTCATTCAGCGTTCACCGCGCTGTGACTGTTTTGTTCTGTGTCGGGGATGAAAGCCATGCTGCAGGAGGACATTGATGTCTCAGCCTGGATGTTTGTAACAAAGCAAAGGGGCTGTGACAATTACTGCAGTCATAATTGAATCCTTGGGTGTAAATGACTGGCCGCTGTAGCTGCATTCATGCTCGCTAAAAGAAAGGACAGGCTCTCTAGCCATGAGAGCTTCCTGCTCCACACAATCTTTTCCTGACAGGTTTCCTCTTCCTCCTTAAACAAAAGACAGGAATGCCCCCCCTCTGGGTGTCTCCTGCTAGATTGGCTGTGTGTGAACGTCAAACAATCACACGTGTAGTCTGGATGTGGAGCTATTGCATATATCCAGTCTGCCTCAGACGCGTCGTGACGCATTTGGAGAGATAGACTTGGTTGATGTAAACACAACAGAGGTGGCTCCCAGCAGGTGTCACACTCGCACAATGCTTGTACTGGGGCATGCGGTTTAACAGTGGAGCTATGATTTATTTGATGTGTTTCCCCCTTTGTCATGTGGTCCTGCGGAAACATATACTGCAAAAGTAGAATTCTGATCTTATTCATGCTTTCAGAAAGCAAGAGTTTTTTACTGAATATGTGCATGGTTCTCGGGAGGAATTCATCTTGATTGTTTAAGTGGCAAACTCTCTGTGGACATTGTGGGGCAGACAGAAAACTATCTGTAACTCTCGGTGTGTGTGTGTGTGTGTTCCCCACCGATACTGGAAAGAAAACTGAGGCACTGCTCTGTCATCCTCTCAGCTTCTCCTCATCAGAGTAGTGCGATCCTATTTTAAAATAAAAAAACCTCTACAATCTCGATAGGCACACACTTGCCAATCATGGTTTCAATTGCACAGGCTGATATGTCACTGTAAATATAACATGCAGCAGTCATAGTGGCTCAGTAAGCCCTTATCGGGCTGTAATGAGACATTCCCTCACTCTTCCACACTTTATCATCCACAGACTAGCTGGTGTGCTCTGCTCAGATAGTGAGTCCTGCTGCCAGCCTTCAGACTATGATGGATCCCCTGATGAAATCACTGGAAAATCTAATTTTGGCAAAATGGTTAAATGCTCTGGAGAGGTTCAGCTATTTTAAATCCACCCATTAACCTGAGGAGTAGTATTTCATTGAATTAGTATGCAAATTAGTATACAAATGCTTTTTTGTGGCATAGACAAAGCTTTCCAACTGTCTGCGGGAAAAAAAAAATCTCCCAATGAGGAGTTTGACTTGTCAATCTGCTTTAAAATAGAAGACAGGTGCCTTTTATTCCAGTGTGTTTACAAGCTGTCACACTTAGTAAATCTTTGTATACTTTACTTTGTGTAGACATATAGTCGGTCCGTGGCATTACAACAGAGGGCACTATAGTGCAATTACAAATTAAAACCCCTTTTCCACTGCAAACGTCACCATAACTTGATTTAATGAATTGTACTGATTGAAGGCTTCACCTGTCCCTTTCTTTTATTAGATCAGTTTTAACGGAAATTATCTGCAATGGTTTTAAACCTATTTACAATGATTTCAACTTTAGTAATTATGGAAAAGCACTGAAGGAAATGGTTGCCAATCAGTATCAAAGTACATGGTTCAAATATTAGATCAAGTATTGGCAAAGCGATTGATCAATGTTTTATTTTTGCTGATCATATCCAAATTTTGCGAAACAAAATTATTTTGTCATGCTTATGCTTTCTCTTTCATTACTTGAGAGTATCTAGTAAATTCAGCATCATTTTGTCTGCGTTTGTAATGTATAAAGTAGCTCTCACTGCCATAAAAGCCACGCAGGTTGTGATTGTTGCGGTTCATGGAAAGTTAAAGGAAACACATGTTGTATCTTTCAATTCAGTGTCAAAATGGAGTTGGTGAAAGAGCATCCCTGCCATTTATAGTCACTGCAGTGTTTTGGTGTATGCGATTACAGAGTATTCCACATACATTATTAAAGTCACCTTCTAGTTGTACCACTTTTGCTACAAAAAGAGACATTTATCATCCAAACAAGGATAAGTTAAATGTTCTACTTCCATGACATGTCTTAGAATGGAATGATCCTGAAGTTATGTGAGATTATGAGGATATTGCTTTCATAGAAGCAACTATTTACAGATTGCAAAAAGCTACATGTTGGAAATACTGATCAGTGAATATTAAGTAGCATTTCCCCCCCCGAAGCAGATATGTGGCATTTTGGAATGAAATAATTCAGTCCTCGGGAATTAGACACGTCTCGGCCTAAGCTGTGCCATCAGATCCAGATGTGCATCAGACCCGAGCCTAATCCCCAGCAGAAGCATATGACTGTAATGAATTCACTTAATATTCAGACTTTTTTTGTATTTGTTGGTTTGATCATTGTTAACAATGATGGATGGAACAATTGTAACATGGGTTGACTAATCAAGTTATTGTTAAGCAGTATCCCCACTCAGTGTCATCTAACACTTGCCTGGCACCAGTCTGAGATGGTGACATTGCCCAACACTGTTTATTGTCAAACACTAAGCGGTGACATCTGTATGTTGAAATGTAACACACCAAGTACACAATCCATGTTTTACTTCCAAGACATTACACGAGGAGCGCTCACGTAATATGTTGGCCAGCCACAAGTGTCTGCGTTTGTTTTCTTTAATAAACTTACATTGCTCCAGCTGAGCTACAGCAGAGGGTCAGTGTAGCTGCGACCCCCCCCCCCCCCCCCC